TACAAAAAGAACTACATTTATACATATTTAACAGTCTACTAATTAAGCCCAAAATGAGAAAATCTATGGATTAGTGATAAAGTAATATAACAAAGAGAGAATCTATTAGCTATATCTTAATAAAAAATATTATGTAATCTAAAGAGAAAAAACACATATCCAGAAATAATTGATCTCATATATCTGATATGGAATATTTAACATGACTAAAGAATTAAAAAAAAAAAATCCAGAAATTGAATTAACCAAAAATAAGGTCCACATAAGAAATCTGGCTTAATTGATGCAAGAAAATGCATATGTACCTATAGAGCTTGTAAAGCTTTTTGCAAATCTTGGAAGCTGAGAAGATAAACTCCCTTCAAGAGCATTTCACATATACACTGTCCCCTTTTCCTTTTTACCTTGTCATATTCTTGTAAAGCACACTCAGAAATATGACGTCAGTGTTTTAATATTATCAATTGTTGTTTAAAAATATGCTCGGTGAATATTATAATTTAATTTTGAGTGTTACATCTGCAAGTTTAATTAAACAACTTTCAGAAACAACTTTCAAAGAGCTTTCTCAAAATTCAGAATTTGATATTTGCTTGAACTTTTTTGAGAAAATCCACCCATCAAGTGAAAATTATTTAAATATTAGAAATTGTATATAAGTTTATGATCTTATGAGTTTTAAGAAATGCTGAATTAGTGAATTGATGCTGTGGAGGTGTACTTGAAATTACATGTGTTAATACCCAATTTTGGCCTCGCCTATTAAAATATTACACGTGAATCCGTAAAATATCAATTGTTTTATTTTATGGCCCAAAAATAATACCGCTTGTAATAATAACGGGCCCACTAAATATATATATATATATATATACCCCTATGATGGACGTCATAGAGATAGGTCTGAGGGGCTATCATTATTTTTTTTTTTTTCTCTCTAATCCTACAAACAGAGGCGGTGCCTTCATGGCTCCACTTCTTCTTTTTGTTCTTCATTTTTATTCATTCAATCACAGAAATACTCAACAGTAATCACATATAAACACAATATTCTGAATCCCCCATGTTGATACAAATTCGCATATCAACAATTTGGCGCTAGAGGAAGGGCCCGTAATTTGCTCGGGTAAATCTTCGCAAGAAATATAGCAAGAAACGGCAGCATCTCTACCGCAAAAAGATCACTCCAAGATAAGCAAGATTATTCTACACTTTATCCTAATTTTTGGGTTCAGTAGACTGTTCTGCAAATATTCGTGAAGATGCAATTTGCATAAGCTTTCTCTTTTGCTGTATACGTTTTCGTTGAAGTTGAAAACGAAAATAAGAGAATAGAGAGAGAGAACAATTTTCCTTGAACGAGCGTAGGCCACGTTGCCTTTTTTCACAATTTTCTTTTTGTTTCGTGGCCAAGAATCAGCCACGTTGCCTCTTGTCACCTTTCTTTTCTTTGACCAGAAAAAAAAAAAAGGAGGGGTTTTCTTTTTTCCGAGGAATATTTTCAAAAAATCGAGATTATCCCAAGATCCTGAATCATATACCCCAGCTCACAAAAATCCCTTAGGTCCAACACCTGGTGGCATATGCAAATCCATTAAACCAATCAGAAATTTCCAAAGCAGACTCGCGAATGCAATTAGTTTGTGTTCCGGATTCATACATACATGTTCTTATCATCGGAATTCACGTCGGTCGGGTTAAGCTCGAAGTTAATCGAACTCTGGCCTTCCATCTACAACAATCATAATCTCAGGCGAGACTGGAAGTTTGCAACGATAAGCATCGGTACCAGATTTCCTCACAATCAGCCCCAATAAAGTGAAGTCGGGGCCTACTCGGCCAAATATATCGACGGCTGATCTCACCATATATTGTCGGGGTCGAACTATCAACACCCAAGTTTACTAAATGCAATTCGGGTCGATCTAGTATCCAAAATAGCATCTCAGGTAACTTCGACATTAGAGTTCACGAGAAATGCAGCCCCAGCACCATAGCTGGTCCACCTCAGCTAATCGGTCCGCCATATTCACCCTCAACCTGCAAAATTCAGTTCTTGAGACACTTCAATACCGACATCACGGTAACCACACATCAATGGGGCCGATTTCCCTATAATTTGACTGGGCCGAGTTTCTCCGACCTCACTTTTCCGACTTCATTAATCACCGGCATCATAGCTTGGTTTCCATTGTGCCATCCGGACAGAATCTAGATTTATACGCAACAGACGACGAGAGCTCGTATTTTCCAATCGCAGACCGAATAACTTCAACTCACAACAGGGCCCGACCTCATCACTGGAGCCGACTTCGCCCTCAATCACAGGGCTCAAGATCGGATCTCCAAAACACGACCAACTTCCAAAATACTGTCTACGGGCCGACTTCTACAGCGTCAAGCCCGATCTCCGAAAAACACGACTAGGGCCCGACCTCATCACTGGAGCCGACTTCGCCCTCAATCACCGACCTCATTTTTTTCGGCTACGGCCGAGTTGCACAAATCGGCCACAACCGAATTCAACACCTCGGTCCGACAGGAATCGGACATCATCTCCGACGTCATGCACAACTGAGTTAATCTCATCTTTCCCGATCTGCTCGCCGGGACCGAGCATGTCATCTCCAAACTAACCTCGGCGGTGTCCCGACTTTGGCCACATCGAGCCCGACTTCACAGATGGGCCAACATCATACCACCGAAGCTAACGTCACTTCAAAACAGGCCGACCCCATTGCAGCCGAGGTCCGATTTCCCGAGGTCCGACCGAATCTTCAATCACCGAGGTCCGATTTCCCGAGGTCCGGCAGAATCTTCAAACACCGAGGTCCGATTTCTCGAGGTCCGACCAAATCTTCAATTACCAAGGTCCGAACTCACCT